ATAGAATACGAATACTAACTTGGATGAAGAGCAGTTAAACAAAAAAACAAAAACAAGTCTGTCTCTGCTTTAGGTTCCAGAATTCTCTCTTTGCAGTCTTGGTTGCTGGATAGGATCCCCTAATTCAATTCATCTATGATATTCTGGTGGCAACCTGCCAGGTGGACCCATGCCCAGGAGGGGGCCTGGTTCAGGGCAGCAGAGGGATGCTCTGGTTCATGACTCACCCCTTTCCCCGCTGCTGGGCCCCCGGTCCCAGACACCGCTGTCCCCGCTCCACCTCACCCAGCCACGCACTCCAGCTCCGTCCTGTTCACTACTATCCAGGGAGGCTGCTGTGTGCAAGCACTGAGCCCGTCCGGGGGGTGAAGACATAGCCACCTGACCTCTGCCACGGGAAGTTCCTCTTTAGGAGGCCTCCATGCTCAGGCGTTTGCTGAGAGCCCACTGAGACCTTTGTGCCATTTCCAGCACTGAGGATACGAAGACAAATGACTCAATGACATCCCCCCCAACCGAAAAAAATATCTTCTGTAACACTCTGTTCAAAAACCTTTGCTGCTTCCTCGTTGCCTGTGGGATGCCTGCCCCGCCCCCCATCCCCAGCACTGGGGTTGGCTGCCCGCTAAATCGCATCTCTTGCTTAGGCTGGATTTAATGCCCTCTCAACTTCATTGCTCACTACCCCTCTACGCAAATGCCTCTCTTCACTCAGGAAGATGGATCTGTCTGTCCATCCATCATCCATCCATTATCGGCCTCACTCACATAGTCACTGGCTCACTCACTCAGTACAGATTTTTCTTGAGTTCCGGACCCTGCGCTGGGCATGCTGGGATGCTTGGATGAGCTCCTCTCCCATAACCAGCTCCTTTGGGCAACCAGGCCCCTGAACCCACCTGCCATCCCTTCCCCACCCCCCAGGAGAGGCGCCTACCCTCTTCCTTTTCCTCCAACTATTTCCTCCCGTCAAAGTCCACCCAAGTTCTTCTTCTGTGCGACTTCCCCCAGGCCACCCTCGCGCTCAGCAATCTCTCCCTCCTCTGAATTCTCAAAGCGTGAGAATACCTGGCTATCTCTTGACCCTGACAATGGAAAGCCTCATCTTGAGGCCACTGCTATGTGTGTCCTTCTGGATATAGAATGTATTTCAAAAAGCAGATGTGAGCATGAGCATGCCTCTAAGATGGGGGTGGCAAGGGACTTGCTACCTGCCAGCCTAGTCTCTAATGCGGGAGTGGTTAATTAAGTGACTTTTTAGGCCACGAGAAAAAGAATTTTAATGATAATTATCGCCATCGTTAATACGTGCAGGGAGCTACTGCAACGGCTCTGCATGGACTAAATCCTTGCTTCCACGTGGTGCCTGCGGGGCACCGAGCTCCCCAAACATTGCCTCTTTCCCCGTGAGGTGAATGTCACCGTCCCCCTCACAGACAGGACACCCATGTGTGAGGGATGCTGGGAAGGCACCTTCTGTAGACTCACTTTCCACCCGGAGCCACCTCCTTGGACTCAGTGATGCCCCAAGAAAGACAAACCAAGCCCCTCCTCATCGTTTTTGTGGTCAGTGACTTCTTCATGGATGACCTGTGCCTGGGTCCTCCCGGGAGACTCCGAGGTGTGCATTTCAAGAAAGTCTGAGTGTGTGTGTGTCTGTGGCTGTGTGTGTGCATCCGAGTGTGGGTGTGCGTACGTGTGTGTCTGTGTGTGAGTATGTCTTTCTGTCTGTGACTGTGTGTGTGTCTATGTGTGTGCTTGGACGGGGACAAGCCCTAGCTCTGGGGTGACCTACCAAGGTCACCTCAATTAGTATCTTACAACGTTCAAGACACCTCACGATGCTCAGAGGCTCTAGGGAGAAAAAAATACTGGTCAGCCATTGTGGTTTTGCCCTGAGCTATTTTTAAATTTAAAAAAAAAAAAAACCCTCATTGCCATTTCATAGATAGGTCAGATTTAGATAAAGCGCCAGCCCAGGGCTTAGGGACCGCCAGTATGACTGGGCAGGCCAACAAAACCCTGCTCCTCCAAACCCTCACGGGGCAAACGGCACACAAACTTCCCCCGCCCCCCACGCGTCTTCTCTTGTGGACACCCCCAACTTCTCTGCACCCTCACGATGACTGTGAAGTACGGCTTATCATTCCCCCCCACAGATGAGAAAATCGAGGTCCCCCAGATGTCAGTCGCATGCCCAAGGTCACTTCATCAGCGAGTAACAAGCTGGACTTTGAACTTGGTCCTTCTGCCCCTGAAGCCCCTGCTCTTCGCCCAACTCTGCACCGCGTCCCCGCCCCCTCATCCTGTGTCTCCAACCAGGTGCTCTAAAGTGAGGGCCGAGCTTGCTGTTGGCTCGTTTAACCACTGAATTTCCATGAAGAAAAAGGTTTCCTCCAGAAAGATCAATGAAAACAAAACACTCTGAGAGGAAAGTTCTCTAAGCTGTCTTACAATATCGGTGTAACCCGCGCCCCTATCCACGGCCTCGCCACGTCAGGGCTCTGGCTTTTATCACTGTGGACAATGTTGAAACATGAGGGGAACCCATCCCCAAATCCACATCTCCCTGCAGCCCCACTGTGCGCAAAGCTGAAGGCAGGGGCTCCTGCAGTTTGCCAGCTCAGTTTGCAATTTAGAACAGGGGGCTTTGAGCTGGGAGCATGTGTGTGTGTGTGTGTGTGTGCGTGTGTGTGTGTGCGTGTGTGCGTATGCGTGTGTCTGCTGCCTCTGGAGACAAAGCACATCCAGTGGTTCTCAGAAAGGCCAGCCCTGCCATCCTTGGAAACAAACATGTGGGCACAAGGACGTCACACTAAGGCTAAATCTCTTTGACCCTGTTTGGCATCACCATTGCTGAATTCCTGGGCCTGGGGTGGCTGAGCATTTTATTTTCCCTGCTGCTTATTCTCATCGCGAGCCCGGGACTCTCCTAGTTTACAGATGCTGACGCTCCGGGGAAGCCACGTGCAGGAGATCAGCAGAGCAGGAACCTCGCAGCACACCCGGCTGACGACAGGGGTCTGAGCTTATCTAAATGGGTTGAGGACAGGAAACGCCATTGTCATGAACGCTGCCTGCTCTGTCTTGAGTCTGCAGACCCGGCTGCCAGCCCTGTTCTGAGCAGCCTGGAGCTCTTGGACACACTGTGGCTGTGCCAGGATCACCCCCTCCACGCTTCCCTCTCCCTCGGTTTGGCTTCAGACTGTCCAGCCCCTCCTCTGACTCTGGCCACAAGGTCCCTCCTTGGACCTGCTAACCACGTAGAAATAACAGGGATAACAGTGCTACCGCCTTTCACCAACGGCCTACCGGGTGTACATGAAAGGTCGACTCGCGGCTCGCGCTCAGAGTCTGCCCCTGCCTCTTACAGGCCCTAGCCCCGTCATCTAAAAACATGAGACGGTAATGTCATCTGCCTCGTGGGCAGGCGGCGAGGCAGATGGAAGTCTGTACAGGGAAGCAGTCCATCGAGGCTGGCTCTTGTGACGCTTTAGGCATCTCACCCCAGAGGTGCCACGTGCAGTCGACGCCTGGGCGTCCACATTTCCCAGGAGGGAAAGGTGTTGAGTCACTGGTAAAGTCCTCGTGTGGTACCAGAGGCCAGGTCTAGGGCACAGAACTTCCGCCCCGTGCTGCATTTAGCTTCTGCGATTCAGAGCCCTGCTTTTCGTCCCGACTCTGAAGCACAAAGCCACTGGAACGTTCTAGGGGCAATGCTGGAATGTGCTCCCTTGTTCCAGGAGACACGGCCAGCTGAACGCTCAGGAGGGGGGGTCTTCCCCGCTGGGTGTCTGTCTGGTGTCTCCTTCACACGGTCCCTAACAGCACCAACAACCCCGATGAAGGCGAGCACCCCACTTTACAGTTTACATTGCACCTTACAGCAATGACCCCCTTAGTGATCGGTGACAGCGGCTCCCGTTTTGTGTCTGAGCAGACTGGGTCCTGTGTTTCTTCGCCAACGACCCCGATGAAGGCGAGCACCCCACTTTACAGTTTCCAGAATGCTTCCTCCACCTTACAGCAATGACCCCCTTAGTGACCCAGTGACAGCAGCTCCCATTTTGTGTCTGAGCAGACTGGGTCCTGTGTTTCTTGTAATTTCGGTTTCTGCTAGTTTTAGCTCAGGGGAGGGCCTAGGCTGGGAACGTCCACCGAGGGGTCAGCCAGATCAACGCTCTCTTTACGCTGCATTGAGAGGGTTTGGCTCAGCTCAGGGTCATGCCACCTTGTTCCGGAAGTAACAATGCGTGTGGCACAGTGTAGGGGTTGAGAGCACGGCCAGAGGTGGGCCGCCTGGATTGGGGTGCCGATTGTCACGGCCAGAGGTGGGCCGCCTGGACTGGGGTGCCGATTGTCACGCGCCAGCTGTGTGATGTCAGATAAGATTGGAGCCACCACGGTGCATTTTTTTTTTTTTCTTCATGTGCCTTAATTTCCTCCTGGGACCCGACTCCCACCACCTATGTTCTTAGAGAGGACGTGCTATCAGCAACCCGCAATGTCCACGGAGACTTGCGGTGACTTTGCCGGCACAGTGGACTTCCACAGAGACTGTTTTCATCACCTCCCGGGCGGGCATCTGTTTTAAAGTCCACGTCTGTCTTAACTGGACCAGGAAAGCTCGCTATTTAAGGAGCCCCAGGAGGTGTAGCGGGGGCACGGTGCCACCTTTTGCACAGTCCTCGTCCCAGAGGACAGTTCCGATCTTTGTCCCTGTTCGGCCACCATCGGCCCTTCTGCATCCAAACGCAGCTTCGCTTCACAGCCAGCCCTAAACCTGTCCAGTGCCCTCACTTCACAGGTGAGGAAACTGAGGCCGAGGGAGACGCTTGTTCAAGATCACGCGGCACGTTGACGTGATATGGATCCATCCTGACCCCCCAAATGCGTGTGACGATCTCCGCGAAGGGTCCAGGGACTCCTGAGGTCTCTGGGCTGAGCAGGGGGAAGGAAGTGGTCTAGATCATCAACCTTGACCCTGCTTTCTCTTCCAGGGGGGCTCCGTGCTGTCCCCCGCTGCTGTCATCAGCCAGGAGAGGGCTCAGCAGCAGGCAGTTGCTTTGGCAAAGGAGGTCGACTGCCCCACCTCGTCCGTCCAAGAGATGGTGTCCTGTTTCCGCCAGAAGCCTGCCGATGTCCTCAACGATGCCCAGACCAAGGTGGGCACTGGGGAACAAGCTGGGGAGGGACACTCTCTGACCTTGTACCAATGGAAAACCAGGCCTATAAAAGAGACAGCCCCCATCCCCAAGGCCACACAGTAGATTGATCACCAGCTAGCGCTAGAATGCAAACTCCCTGACCCCTGTGCTGTGCACAGACCCGGTGTGTAATGGATCCCACGTAGGTACTGACGGCCGACATATCTCTGAGCCAGTGGGATTTTACCAGTGAAATGGGAATAATAATGTGGACTTTATAGAGTAGCAGAATAAAAGGAAGTGACATATGGGAAGGGGCGTGCCTGTGCTGGGACTGTGGTGGCCCTCTGTCCGGTCACGGCCACACGTACTGAGTGTTCTGATCATGCTGCAATGGTGTTGGGCCACCCGCCCCTTAGAGAGGACAGCCGTGTGCCCCACTCTCCTGCCTGCAAAGATCCTGCTCGCAGCTCACAGTTCCAGGCTGGTCCTGACGTTAATGAATGGACCCTAGCAGGAATAACTGCTGACATCTGAGCTGATGGCTTGATCCCTTCAGCAAGGAGCCTGGACTCACAGACCTGGAGTGGGTCTGATCCTCAGTTCCCCCAAATGTGAGCTAGTTGGATAGTGGCCAAAATGATGAATTTCTCTGTCATGTCCTGCCTTTGGCCACCACCCCTTCTCGATCAGTGTCTCCTCCTTCCTTAGTCATACACCTACAGGCTCAGGTTTACGTATTCTTCTCTGTGGATCTGTGTCACCTTGACAGGGAGACTCTGAGAAGCTCCCCTGGGGACCAACCATTGCTCAGAGCAAGACTCACTTCCTGCCCCTGGCACTGTCCCCTGGTGTCCTGCCTGCTTGTTCTGATTTCCCCATGGAGCCCCAGATGGATAACCAGCATTGGTGTTCATAATGGTCAAGACCTAATTAAGTGAAGCGATGCAATTGACGATTTCAGTACCATTTGTTAAAAATGGATAAAACCCACGTAAACAGTGGCACCTCTCTGCACCCAATGCAGCTCCTGGCTGTGAGTGGCCCTTTCCACTACTGGGGTCCCGTGGTCGATGGCCAGTACCTCCGACAGGCTCCAGCCACAGCGCTGCAGAAGCCTCCACGGGCGAAGGTCGATCTGCTCATCGGGAGTTCTCAGGACGACGGGCTCATCAACAGAGCGAAGGCGGTGAAGGTAGGCAGGGAGCAGGCCTCAGAGGCCCTGCTGGGTGTGCTCCGCCAAGTCCCACCTTGGTCAAGAGCATCGGCTTACTTGCTCGTTTACAAAACAGTTGCTGAAAAACTACGATGTGCAAAGTCTGCACAAGGGGCTTGGAAGGCAGCAAGGGGCTTGCAGAGCTCTGAGCGACACAGACACAGTCACATTCACACGGTGCATCTGTGGATGAATCACTGTGGGAAACAGCGAGCAGAGGCCGACCGAAGAGCTCTGTACCTGCAAGGTTCCAGGGCACGGATACCCCTGTCCCACGAAGGACACTTGTCCCGCTGAGACTGGGGGAAGGAGAGGCAGGTGCGTGAAGAGGCATCATCCTCCTATCCTGGCCGGGAGCCCCAAACACCATCATTCCAAGCTGGTTGTCTTACCCGGGACAGTGGGTACCACACATCTGGCTAGAGCAGCTTCGTGTGGCTTGTTGTCAGCGCAGCCAAGTGGGAGTAAGTTGTGAGGTCATTTATCTGCCTGAACACACACTTCCTTCTTTGACCAGACGTCACCTCCCCTAACTAGGACCTGGCTCACACTGGCAGAAACCAAACACATGCTCCGCAATACACCCGCCCCTCCTTGTCAAGCCTCTCTTGACAGGCACATTAGGTTGTCGGACCTGGGATGGTGGCCCCAGCGAGGACACGCACACTCACAGCGAGGACACACACACTCAACGTGGGGCTGTGTCCGACTCTATCAAATACGAGGCGGGTAACTGGAATGAACAACAACAACAAAATCATTACTGCAGATGGGATCTCACCTTCTCTTGAGTTATTCTATTCCCTCGAGTAATGTCTGTCTCACTGAGGGGACATGATATACATTCGAGGGTGTTTATTGTGGCATTAATTATCGTGGCAAAACATTAGGAGAGACTCAAATGTCCATTAACAGGGAAATGGCTGAATAAATTAAGATACACGCAAACTACTAGATGTTATGCAGATGGTGAGAGAATGAACTAGATATTCTCCATTGGCTTGAGGAATGCCTGCGATGCATTGCTGAATGAGAAACAAAACCAGAATGCAGAGGAATGTGGAACGAGGTAGCATTCCTGATCCAACCGACCTGCATCTCTCTGTAAACGTGCAGATGTGCATAATTTTATGTTTCTATGTGAAAGGGTAATGGTGTGGAAAGGTATACAACAGGCAATTAACATTGGCATTGACGTGTGGCAATGTGAAAGAGAATGTTATGAATTTACTATTACTAATATAACTATATGTACATGTATGTTACGTATAACATGCATAGATATTTGTGTGTGCGGATATGTACATGGAGGGAGGCGTGTGTGTGTGTGTGTGTGTGTGCGTGCGTGCGTGTGTGTGTTGGAGGCGGGGGAAGGCCCAGAGCACAGCTCAGTAACTATTAAGTTCCATCCAGTCAACTTACAACCCTGGAGAAAGAATATTTGCTCCTGATCCATCTCTACGCTTTCTGCCGGGTACCCGCATATACCGCAGCCTTAACTCAAGGGGCTGCAACTTGATTGCTGACCCAGACTAACACCCAGGAAGCTCTGAAAAGGAGCCACTCTGAGCCACTAGCCCTCAGCCTACCTTCTCAAAAATAGGGGATGCTCAAATTACTTTTGAGCAAGCCCCCCATCCGTTAAAAAATAGTAAGCATAGTCATTTAAGTATAAATGCTATACATGAGTACTCCTGTACTAATATGCACAATTATTATAAAACATTCATAAAAATAAAAATTAAAAGCATGAGAAAGAAACATTCTTACATTCGTGCTGCAGCCTCTCCATACTCCAATTCGTATCTACCTGTAAATACGTGACTGTGTGTAATTTTACATGTTTCTGTGTGACAGGAAAGTGGCTGCAGACATTGCCCCCTAGCCTGGCCATACTGGAAAGATGTGGCCTTGACCCTGAGCCCTTTTCCTTGCAATGCACCATTGCACGTTGCCCCGAGGGGAAGGACGCGGGAATCCTTGTGCAGATGGGGTTATATCCCACAGCTGTGGTTCTTTGGACCCTGTGCTGAAAACGTATCCCAATCATCTTTGACTTTAGAAAGAGAGGAGGAATAATTATATCCCCAGGAGGCTGGGGATCATCCTAGACAGGTGTGGGGTGGAGGGAGCAGGCCCTGGCAGCTACTTCCCACACCGCTCACTGCGGTGAAGAGGCCACCCTTAGGGGCTGGAAGGGGGCGATCGTCCTGGAGCGTTTGGGGCTGCGGGTGGCCGAGGGTAGCCTGGTCTGCACTGGCCGATTTTCCCCGCGTGCTGTGAGGGGGTGGCCTGGTCATGCGGGTCCCCTGTCAACCCAGGTTCTCTCCCAGCAGCGTGTTTGAGAGTTTTCCAACTCTGTCCGCGATCTCCGAGCCCCTCGCGTCAGGAGCCTGGGTCCAGGGAACAAGGCATTTTCGTTCCTCTTGCCGTGTCTCCCCCGGACGCTTTGAAGGAGACACTTCCATGGTCCACTTGCAAGGAAAAATGTCTGCCGGGAGGAGCTCGCTGGCCACAGAAGGACGTGGCTGGGAAAGCGTGTCCTCCAGCCCAGCACGGGGAAGCCGCTGGGAGGGCCCGGCAGGGCAGCGTCCAGCCCTCGTCCACGGCTCTCATCTACACCCCGGTCCCGGGCAGTGCTCCCTCCGCACGCTTATTCTTGGTTAGACCGTCCCTCTCATTCCCCTGCGAACACGCACGTGTGCGGCCGCCGACTAGTTCTCGTGAACTGGGAGGAAGTGGGGCCGGACTCATGGCCGGTTGGAAGCCAGCTCCACATTTGCAGTGCCACCGACAGGCCGACAGCTCCCGGCTCGAACTTGGGACTGGGTTAGTCCACGACCCGTGTGACATCTTCACTGAGATGTCTCATAGCATCTCACTCACTCCTAACCCGTCCAAAACGAATGTGATTCCACCAAGGCCCCCGTCCCCAGCCAGCACGTTCTCCCGCCATCTTCACCATCTCCATGAACAGCGGCTCGCGCTTCTGCAAGCTCAGGCTCCCACCCGGACACCGCTCTGGACACTGAGGTATCCCGTCCTACCAGCCTCCTATCGGCAAATCCGGCCGGCTCCGCCTTCGAGATGCATCCGGAATCCAACCGCCTCTCACCACCCCTTCTGCCCTCGCTCTGCTCCATGCCGTCTCCTTCTCCAGGATTTTCATGATCACCCCAAACTATCTCCCCGCTCTGGCTTCGCCCTGTCACCTACGAGACCCACGGCAAGAGTTATCCCTTTACAGCAAAAGCGAGAGCATGTCACTCCGCCACTCGAAGCCCTCCAGTAGCCTCATCTCAGGTGGGGGAGAAGCCACAGTCTTGACGATGACCTCCAGGGCCCTGCCTGATGGGGCCCCTCTTCACCCTCTGCCCCCGCCTACTTCTGCTCCCCGCTTACTCACTGTGCTTCATCCCAACCAGTTTCGCTGGTGTTCCTCAAATATGCAGGGCACACTCCCACCTTCGGGTCTTGGTGCTTTCTGTTCCTCTTCTAGAATGTTCTTCTCCAGGTAACTGACTACCTCACGTCCTTCAGGGTGTGCTTCAGAGAACTTGTGTGACCACCTGATGGACAGGGCACCCGTATCCCCAGCACGCTCTCTCCCCCTTATCCTGCTGCCCATCCTCAGCGCGTACACCCCTTGACAGACCGTGTATTTATCTGTCTGTTGTATTTCTTCCTCACTAGAACGTGAGCCTCGGGAGCTCACTTTCTTTTTCTTTCCACTTTCTTTTTCTTTCCACTTTCTTTTTCTTTCCACTTTCTCTCTGGTTCCTAGGGAAGTGTCTGGTACACAGTGAATCTTTGTGAGATGACATAGTGAACTTACAGAGAATGGACCACGTGCCAGGATCTAAACTAGAAGTCTTCGATAAAATAATCCATCCCCAAACAACCCCACAGAGCAGGAATTATTATCGCTATTTTTCAGATGGGGCACCAGATCAGAGAGGAGGCAGGATCCAAATCTGGGTCATCCCAATTCCAAAGGCACCCTCTTCCTATGACGGTGCCCTGGGAATGGCCAGGCTTCCGCTCCCAGAGCTTGCGGTTCACCAGTGAGTGTACCGGGCACTCACGCATCCACGAACACAGCTAGAGTAAGGGCCACCATGTGCAAAAGGCTTTGTAATTCCGCTCACATTCTTACTTTATCTCAACAATAACCCCGTGAGATAGATACTCATGAACCGGTGTTTAACGCCGTCGTATTGAAAAAGAAATCGGCTTTGAGACGGTTAATGATCGTCTCAAGGTCATCTAACTAGACATTTGCAAAGCCAGGTGCCAGTGCAGGTCTTCTGGCTCCAGATGGGGCACTGTGCCTGTGACCCCATGTGTGCTAAACTCTACAACAGGGACGGTGAAGGCACTAGCACCACCTATTCCTACCGGACACGATCAGAGGACCCCTCCAAGTCCTGCCCAACACAGAACTGCCACGAGCTAGCGGGGACACCCAGCGACCCGGCTCCCAGCTGCCCTCTACCTACGGCATTAAATTTCCTCTTTTATTTCAAAACATTTCGCTCACGGATTATCTCGCATGGGTTACCTTTCCTTATGTCAGCCTGCTTGTGACCTGTATTTTGAGTTAGGTTTGTACATGTCTCCATTTCGCCCCCAGAAGGCTGCATAGCACCTGAGTCCAACGACCATTAGTTGAGGGGAACCCAGGATGGCACATCCTGAGGCCTCAGTCCCAGAGATTCTTTCTCCTCCAGCATCAGCCCAGCCTGTGCTGAGAAGCAGGACATCGATCGCAGAAAATCACCGCATCCACCTACAGCAGGGTGTCCAGCGTGTTTTCTAACACCGAGACTTACGCGTTTAGTCATACAGCACTTAACAAGGTCCCTTTTTCTGGGCCAGACACCCTGCTAGGTGTTTGGGGTATTAATACAAATTGAATCTGCCCTCAAGGAGCTCACAGTCAGGCAAGGAGACGGAAGATGAGCAAAAGCAAATAACTA